ATTCATGATAAATCGTGATTAAAAATTTTAATCTATGCCCAGCGCTAAAGTTAATCAATATGAGTTAACTCGATTAATTTCACAGCCCTATTCACAAACGCTTCACCATTTCCTCACAATTCAGCCGTTCAGCAGGTTATCACATATGTTGCTAATAACACACAGCAATGTCTCCAAATTGTTTTTGGCAACGTTGCAAACAAATATCTTGTGCAAAGATGTAAAATCAAATAATTGACTGACTTTGCTTTTTGGTGTCAGGTGATAAAAGATGTAAACATGAATATAAACAGTTTGTATCTGGCTCCTCTTTGTTTAACAAAGCACTGATTTTCCATCCAGTCAGCCATTATTTTTACCCACTTCTTTTCTGGGTTCTGGGGGTGACCAGTACCCATGTCCAGCAATCGTGTCTGACTGTGTATAATGTTTTTACAAGTTGCACTAATGAAAATGAATGAAGGTTTTTTTACAAACAACCTGTATTTTAGGTGGATCTGGAGGTGAGCAGGGAGAAGACAAGGAACCTGATTTGTGGGAAAACCAGCTCCACTGCCAGGTGTGGAAGGAGCTGAGAGGGTCTCCAAAGGTGGGACATTACTGCTGCAGGAGGAGCTGTGGATGATCTGCTGCCATGCACCGCTTAAGGACTACATTTATACGGCTATGGCCTTTAACAACACCACAGATAGCCCAAAACCCAGCTCAGAATAGACTGTGGGTGCCCGGGGGACACCTCGGGACATTTCATGTTGTGAGACACCTGAACGCTCCTGTGGCTGCCGAGCCTTTCCTGAACGGCACCAGCTCCAACTATGTGGAGGAGATGTACCAAACGTGGCTGGAGAATCCCAGCAAGGTCCACAAGGTATTCTGCTTTATGTTCTCTTTCTGTACCAATGGAGTTTTCCTGCTGGGCATTGATCACACTTCAACAAACTGGTCCCAGGTAGATGGATGGATGGATGCAAGTAGATGGATGGATGCAGGTAGATGGATAGATGGATGCAGGTAGATGGATGGATGCAGGTAGATGGATGGATGCAGGTAGATGGATGGATGCAGGTAGATGGATGCAGGTAGATGGATGGATGCAGGTAGACGGATGTAACAGGGAAATAAAGAACATTTTATTTAAATTTCTGCTGTCATTTCTCTGTAATAAGTCTGTAATGATTTAAAGATGTTTTAAGAGAGGCAATAATGTTTTTGTCCATTCCTGCCTGTTAGCATTTTATCTCCTTAATTAACCATTAGACAGATTTTATTGAGACTCTAAAAAAGTAATCATTGGATGTTTGTCTAAAACTGATTAACTTTTGGAGTCGCCAAATTCAAGATGGCCATCACAGCTAATCAACCTTAAAAAACAAAAATAAGTCAGTTTTACAGACATTGCACTAAAGTTCAGTGTGGTGGTAGCTGAAGTATAATTTTAACTTTTGTCTAAAACAACAACAAAGATTGTCATGGCATTGAAAGGTACAGAACCAGGATCAACACATGGAGGCCGGATATGACACGGAAATACACAACACTCCACTGATACCTGCAGGGACAAACTAGAGCTGGATCAGCTGAGGCTGACAGTGCAGGTGTGAGTGGGCGGGGAGAGTGCTGGCACAGAACACAGAATTAAAACCAAATGAAGGATAAACCCTACTATAAACACAAACAAATACTAAAAAGGAACCAAACTACACAGAAACTAAGCACTAACACATGGAACACACACGAGACTGAACATACTGTTCTTTTTAAACTTTGACAGACATGTCAGCAGTGCCATCACTTCTAGTTGTACCAGGCCTTTAGTTGCAGAATATTTGAAAGACTTGCAGTGTTCTGACCCTGCTGATCTAATGTTGTCAATAAACATGGTCTCCCTGTCTGGCCTCACTAACAACAGCAGGAAACAGACATGAATCCTCTTGGTCACCTCACCTGGTCGTTAATGACAGATGTATACTTGTGGGGACAGTAGTGAGGTACTGCAGAGACACTGAAACAATGGAACGGAAGTCTCCCTAATAATCCAGGTGTACCTGTTCACCTCTGCTCAGAGTTGGCCCTGCACATTTAATGTCACATGCAGTCCAAACCCTTCAGTTGTGTACTCTCCGTGGCCCTTCACCTGTTTCCTGCTGGCTTTGAAAAGACCAAACTGAAATGTCAGAACCCAGTCCAAAACTTTGTTGAAGTTTACACACACAGCAAAGAACAAACTGGTGTTTGGATTTGAATCTGTCCAAGTTCATACGAAAATTGTCCATATTTGTTTTTTTGGGACATGAACAAGTGGATTAACACACCTTCACACTGTGAATGTGAAAAACAATTCAAACAAACTTTGGGATGTGCTTTTCAAGGAGGACTGAAAGACACTGTGTGTGTGTGTGTGTGTGTGTGTGTGTGTGTGTGTGTGTGTGTGTGTGTGTGTGTGTGTGTGTGTGTGTGTGTGTGTGTG